CCAACTGAATAACAATGTCAATATTATTATATCATGACACCATTGCTATAATAAATGATATTAATATTATAACAACATAGTAATAGAATAAATAATATAGTATAATTAATATTAATTAATTACAACAAATGAGGCCAGGAGTTATCCTTGCTGTGAGAAGGCTAAAACTAGTGCATCTTGAGCTTAGGAGTTCCGAGTTGCAGTGGGTCAGGCTTATTAAGTATCTACACTGAGGTGGGCATTAATATAAGTCCCCTGGTCCCAGGGGAAGGACCGGATTTCCTAGGAAGGAGCAAACTAGCTCAGATCTGAAATGGAGCAGGTTCAAACTCCCAGGATGCTCCATCAGAGTGGGGCCTCCCAGGAGTCCTTGCATATCTAAAGATCCAGTCTTTTTTTTTGCTTGTTTTTTCTTGTTTTTGTTTTTGTTGTGTTTGTTTTTTAAATTGAGACCTAGTCTTTTAAAAAAAAATAACAATGAAAAGTCAGGGTAGGGAAAGAAGAGAAAACAGCCTCTGGAGTCAGAGGGCCCTGACAGTTTACTCACTGTGTGACCCTGGGCCTCTCTGTCCTCAACTTTAATGTGAGGGAATTAGATTAGATGGTCTCTGAGGTCCCTTCCAGACTTCAATCTTCCTCAGAAAAGGACAAGGAAAGGGAAGAAGAAAAAGAGAAAGAGGAGGAGATGAAGGCCAGGCAACCTGTCTTAGGGGGTAGTGAGCTGGCTTATTCTCTCTGTGACCCTGGACAGATCCCTTGATCTCTGAGTGACCCAGGCAATGGTAAGGCAATATAATATAACATAACATAACATAACGTAACGTGACGTGACGTGACGTGACGTGACGTGACGTGACGTAACATGATATGATATGATATGATATGATATATAATATGACATGACATGACATAATATGATACAATACAATGTAATATCATATCATATCATATCAATAAGGTAATTGTGCCTTAGTAGAGAGAATTTCCTTGCTAAGAATTCCCTACACCAGTGAAATCACAAATGTAGACCTCACAACAGTAATAACGTTACTAAATGCTCATGTTCAGATAGTCCTCAAAGGTTTATAAAACATATTTGTCACATTGACCCTTTGAGGTGCCATTTTCCCCTCTGATAACATCATCCCTAAGTTATTGTGAATATATTTTGTATTATATAACTGTTTGTATGCTGTCTTTTGAAGTAGAGTGTAAGCCTCTTGAGGGCAGGGACGATTTTTGCTTTTCTTTGTATCCCCATTTCTTATTATGGTGCCTGGGAAACAATAGGTGTTTAATAAATGCACACTGACTTGACCTGACTTCTTATCCCGATTTGGTAACATCAGTTGCTCTTGATGGAGCATTTCTGTTTGCCTCAGTTTCCCCATCTGTATTCTTCCTGTATCTGCTTGAGCTTGGGTTCTGCTATCTCAGCTTTCTGATGGAGCACCTTGAGATATCCCTGACAAGCATGGCTTCTGCCATAGTCTTGGCACCTGAGCTCCTCCCTTGCTGCCTGCTCTACTGGGCTTTGACCCCCAGCCTCTCAAGTGACCTTCAAAGGCACACCTGATGTTCTGTTTATCCTGGGTTTACCTGTTAAAAAACAGTTTACCTGTTTTAAAAAAAGTTTCATGGTAAGATGTAATGGATGGAGCCTGGTACACGGATTCAGGAAGGCCTAAGTTCAAATCTCACCTTAGACATTTACTAGGTATGTGACTCTGGACAAGTCACTTAACCGCTGCCTCAGTTTCCTCATCTGTATAATGGGGGGTAAAAATAGTACTTATAGCACAGGGTCATTGTGAGGATCAGATGAGAGCATATTTGTAGCACAAAAATTAAAGTGCTATATGAATGCTAGCTATAACTGTGGTGGTGATAGTAGTTGTTACTATTATCATCCCACATCTTTCTAAGGGATGACCCTGAACTGGCTTCCTTAACCATGGTTGTTCAGCCCTATTTGAAAATGAACCTTCCCAGACCTTGTGATAGGAATTTGTACTACGGACAATGAGTTGAAGATTTAGCTTGCCAAAGCCTGCCACCTAGTGACTAATTGGTATAAAACAGCATTACCAAAAAAAAAATGGCTCCATTCAGATGGTCCTTTCAATTTAAGTCAATAAACATTTATTAAGTTCCTACTATGTGCAAGGCACTCTGCTAAGCATTAGGGAAATAAATAATAAGAAAGACAGTCCCTGCCCTCAAGGAGCCTGCAATCTAATGGGAGGTGGGGAGCAGTATGCAAAAAGAAGCTGGAAACTATACATAAGCTTAATTGAGTGAAGTGCCCTCCGAATATGCCCATTTGACAGATGGATGCCTAGGGTGGTGACATGACTTGCCCAAAGTCAAACAGCCCCCAAAACCCAAGACTTGAGACCAGGCTTTCTGACTCATGGAGATCAGAGTTGGAAAATGACCTCAGAAATCATCTGGTCCTACCCATTGATGAACAGAGATGGGGCAGTGGATAGAGCGCTGGACATGGAGTTGGGAAGACCTAAGATCAAATCCAACCTCCGATACTTACTAGCTGTGTGACCTAAGCAAGTCACTTAACTTCTGTCTGCCTCAGTTTTCTCATCTGTAAAGTAGGGATAATAATAGCACCTATCCCCCAGAGTTGTTGTGAGGATCAAATAAGATTTGTAAAGCACTTCGTAAACTTATATAAATATATTATATATATATAATATTATATTATATATTATATATGCAAACTTATGTAAATATATAAAGCATTATATAAATGCTAGCTATTTATTATTATTATAATTACTGAATGAATGAAAAAGCATTTAAGTGCTTATTATGTGCTATGCTAAGTGCTGAGGATATAAATTGAAAGGCAAAATAGTCCCTGATCTCAAAGAGCTTACACTCTAACTGGGTAGGGTTTCTTCACCTCTTTTTGGACCACAGCCATGTTTGGGTAGACTGGGTGAAGTTAATGGACCCCTTCTCAGAACAAAGTTTTAAATATATAAAATAAAATAAAATACATGCAGTTACAAAGGAAATCCATGATGTTGAAATTTGGTTTGTTGTTATTCAGTTGTGTCTGACTCTTTGTGACCCCATTTGGGGTTTTCTTGGCAAAGATACTGGAGTGGTTTGCCATTTCCTTCTCCAGCTCATTTTACATATGGGGAAACTGAGGCAAATAGGGTTAAGTGACTTGCCCAGAGTCACGTAGCAAGTAAGTGTCTGAGGCTGGATTTGAACTTATGAAGATGAGTCTTCTTGATTACAAGCACAATCCTCCATCCACTGTGCCATCTAGCTGCCCAGTGAAATACAGCTAACTATATATATATATGCAACCATACATACACATATATCCATAGATATATGTGTATGTATATATGTATGTGTGTATATGTGTATGTGTAAACAACTTCACATAGTAGAGATTAAGAACCACTGTAATATGGGAGAGAAAACATATAGGAGGAGGTGTCAGCCTCAAGGCAGCTAGAGGGATCCTGTGGTCCTTACTGAGTGTCTTTTCCATTTCTATGGGATGGATTCCAAATCTGTTTTTGATGTTGAGTCATTTGACAGGACCAAGGCCTTAGGTGTTGAGCATAGCTTCAGAGGCTGTGTCTGCTGCGGTTGCCTGCTCAGATCTCTGTGTGGGTTGCTTCTAGAGAGAGGGATGACAGAAGTCAAGGGGGCTACCCTGGTAACCGCACATTATATAGTTTTAATTGATAGAAAGGCCTCCAGCAAGTTGGGTAGATAGATCCTCCACAGAGGAATTTTGGAAGCCGTGGACGAAAACTACAGAGAATGAGCAGGCATGGGCTGGTTACCATCTGCTCTGGTGGAAGGATGACTCATTTGGATGAAATAACAGATCCGTGGAACATCATATTGAAATGAAAAGGAGTAGCATGTCTTTTTTAAAATATTATTTAACATTCATTAAAATTTTTTTGAGTTCCAA